TCTAGAAAGAGCTTATCCATTCAGGGATGAACCTAAACCAGGAGTAAGTCTCATTGCCCACCAGGGACTGTATTCAACTCTAGCTGGACCTGTTATCTGTATGATCCCACTCTCCAGGCCCTGAATCTCCCCGGCTGGATATCTGGAGCCCGGAGGTTGCAGCTGCCTCTTGCAGGCTGATTTTTTCAGAGTCCCTCACCCTATATCCCTGTTTAATCTTCAATGGTTAGCTACTGTCCTCAGAGGGAAAAGGAATCAAAAAGATGAAATCAGAGAAAAATTCTAAATCAATCAAAAGTAGATGCACTTAGCAAGTAAAACTGGTAAACCCTGTCCAATTAAGAAAAATTCAAATCTACAAATAAAGAACAATTAAAATAGTTTTACATAGATAGCATTTACACACACACACACACACACACACACACACACACACACACACACAAACATATATATATAGTTGCATACAGTTTTACATTTATACATATTTTCATAATTTCTATACTAATAGTTCCTAATGAAATTTGATTATATTTAAGGTTTGGGACAGGGAAGGGCTCAGTTTTCTTTAAGGGGCTGGCCACTGGGAGTTTGATTATATCCTAGTGAGTATATGAGCAACACAAATATTAGACTTGGTATTTTCCTTTTCTTTTCTTTTTTTGATGGGGAGAGGTCACAAGGGTGCAGGGTAGACCTGGGAAAAGACTAGATAGTATATGTGATTGGAGTGCATTATGTGAAACTCCAAAATAATAAAAATATGATGTTGGAAAAAATTAAACATTCATACATGTACACATAGGCAGCACTAATAGGACATAAAAGAATTATTTTTAAAAAGATCAACAATTAATAAATGGAACCTTATAAAACTGAAAATTTTCTGTAAGCTACAGAAAACTGTCAATTGGACGAAACAGCAGCTCACAGAATAAGAATTTTTTTTTTTTTTTTTTTTTTACCAACTCAACATCTGACAGAGGGCTAATATCCAAAATATATAAAGAACTCAAGGAACATCAACAAACCAAATAAATCAGTTAAAAATGAGGTAAGGATCTAAATAGCGAATTCTCAACAGAGGAATCTCAAATGCCTGAGAAACACTTAAAGAAATGTTCAACATCCTTAAACTACTTTGAGATTCTGTCCTACACCCATCAGTACTTAAGATCAAAAACATAAGTGACATCTCATTTTGAAGAGGATGTGGAGTAAGGGGAACACTTTTCCATTGCTGATAGTAGTGCAAACTTGAATAGCCAAGATGAAAATCAATATGGTGGATCCTCAGAAAATTGGGACTCAATCTACCTCAAGACCCAGATATACCACTCGGGCATATATCCAAAGAGTTCTCCATCTTACCACAAAGACACTTGCACAAACTATGTTCATAGCAGCCTTCTTCATAATAGCTAGAATACACAACCTAGATGTCCCTCAACTGAATAATGGATACAAAATGTGGTACATTTACAAAATGGAGTACTATTCAGCTGTTAAAACAATGACATCATGAAATTCACAGGCAAATGGAAGGAGCTAGAAAAGATAATCCTGAGTAAGGTAGCCCAGACCCAGAAAGACAAACGTGGTATGAACTCACTTATAAGTAGACATTAGCTGTTAAGTAAAGGATAACCATGCTACCATCCACAGACCCAGATGGGTTAAGTAACAAGGAGGGCTCAAAGGATCTCCCTGGGAATGGGAAATAGAATAGACTTTGTGGGTAGACTGGGGGCAGTTGGGTGGGGATAGGAACATGAGTCATCAGGTTGAGGGGATAGAGGGGGAGAGTACTGGGAGAGATAACTGTAATTGAGGGGCATTGGGGGCGGGCAATGTAGAAATCTAATGCAGTGGAAACTCCCTGGAACCTATGAGAGTGACCCTAGCAAAGACTCCTAGTAATGGGGGATACGGAGCCTGAACCAGCCATCTTCTGTAACCAGGCAAGGCTTCCAGCAATGGGTCTAGGACACCAGCCCAGCTATACAACCTTCAATCTACAATCTGTCCTGCCTCCAAGACATGCTGGGGCAATGGTGGCACTGAACTTGTGGGAGTGGCCCACCAATGGCTGGTCCAACTTGACTCCCATGCCACAAGAAGGAGCCCATGCTTGACATTGCCTGGATGGCCAGGAGCCAGAGGTTGGACAGCCCAGAGACCTAGGATAGAGCAAAACATGACTGGGAAAAAGTTCAATGAAATGATTACTAATGATATTGTGCTAAATTCATAGATTGATGCCTATCTCAATTGTCATCAGAGAAGCATCATCCAGTAACTGATGGGAACAGATGCAAAGACCCAGAGCCAAACACTGGGCAGAGCCAAGGGAACTCCACAAAGAAAAGGGTGAGGAAGGAGTGTAGGAGCCATAGGGGTCAAATACGCCACGAGAACACAGCCCACAGCATCAACTAAGAAGGGGTCCTGAGGGCTCAGAGACTGAAGTGACAATCATGGACCCTGTATGGGTCTGAGCTAGGTCCTCTGCATATACAATATGGTCGTGTAGCTGGGTGTTCTTGTGGGACTCCTAACAGTAGAAGTGGGGGTGTCTCTGACTCTTTTGCCTGCTCTTGGGACCCTTTTCCTCCTACTGGGTTGCCTCAACCAGCCTTGATATGAGGGTTTGTGCCCAGTCTTACTGTAACTTGTTATGACTTGTTTGGTTGATATCCCTGGGAGGCCTGCTCTTTTTTTGAAGGGAAATAAAGGAGGAGTGGGTCTGGGGGAGAGGGGAGGCTGGGGGATGGGTACCAGGAGGAACGGAACTACACTATGGATGTAATACATGAGAGAAGAGTGAAATAAAGACATGGAGTTGGGAGTGAGATGAGAGATACGTTAGTGGATGGGGGTAACTGGAGGGAGAGAGGGAGGTATAAATATGACCAAGACATATCGTATGTACACATTAAATTTTAATTCTTGATGAGTGGGAAGAAAATTGGAGTAAAGCAAAATTATAAAAGAAAATTTTAACAGCCCAGGAAAGGCAGGCTGTGTCATAGTTTCACCCTGGCTGTTGTGATGATATGCTCCAACCAAAAGCACCTTAGGGAAATAGAGCTATATCTCAGCTCACAATTCCAGCTTGGCCCATCATTGTGGAGAAGTCAAGGCAGGAATTTCAAACAGCTAGTCCCATCGCACCCACAGTCAAGAGCAGAGAAAAATGAACACATGCTCACCTGCTTGCTTGATTGCACGCAGCTTGATTTCTCCATTCTCATGCACGCCCTGCCTAGGGAATGGTGCCGCCCACCGTGAACTGGGTCTTCCCACATCAATATACTTAAGACGAGGGGCCAACCTAATGTAGACAGCCCCTCACTGAGACTCTGTTCTTGATTGTGATTCTAGGTTGGGCCAGGGTGACAATTATAACCAGTCATCACAGACTGAGTTGTAGCTCAGAGCCTGGAGCATGCTGGGTCCTAACATGGGCACTGCAGAAGCAAACAAACATACAAAAAAAAAAAAGCCAACAAACAACTGTGATGAAGGAATCACTTCTAGGGGAGATGGCAGTGGGTGCTTGAGAAGTCATTTCAGATGTTTAATAGTAGACAGTGGCTGTACCCCTTAAATGGCCCCAAAGGACTCAAAAGGGATGAAAGGTGCTGATCAAATCAATCAGCAGGATGGAGCTGTTTTGGGGGACAGCTTACTCCGTCAAATCAGACTTATCCTTGAGCACCCAGGCAACAAGACACCAGAAGCTCTGTGGGTGTGTGCTATTGGTAGATCAACAAAACATTCATTGAGGGAGTTTCAATTTCATTCCAGATTCTTCTGAAATCAGTAAACTAGAAGCAAAGAACTCTATGATTAATGTGATGAGAAACTGCTCATTAAACACTAGCAAGCACCTTATCCAATACTAAGTCTCCAGGTTCCTAATCAGGCGTAGAGGAAACACTCCTTTCATGGCTTTGCCGGACTGCAGTCACTAAAATCAGGATCAGATGATGACTATATTGAAAGGGGAAGAAAAGTTGTCACTTTTTGTGCAAACCTTCCTGAAGAGCCTAGGACCAGGTTTGTGTGTCCTTGGGGTAATGATAATGCTGTGGAGAAGCTTCCAGAGGGCCATGCACTGCGGCAATGCCAGCCAAAGCCCCCGCAAGCATTCAGAGGAGCAGAAGCGCGTGCAAGTGTGAGCATGAAGCACTCCCGAGGGCTCCGAGGTAGATTCTGCCACCCAGTTGGCTCATTTCCAGGTTTTAATTCTCCTTGACACAGATGCGTCATTTTGATTTCAATTTTGGTAACTGTACCATACACTCAAGTTAGAGGCCTTCATTTTATAATCTAAAAAGGCATACTTTTTACACACTTCTGAAAATGGGGGTGAAAACGCAAGTCAGTTAGAAGACGGAGCAGAGGAGCGGCATTTGGAATGGAACACTAATGTGTGCTAGGCGTGTTAGCTCAAAGCCCTCTTGTGAGCTCTTTTCTTTAATGGCTCAGGCAGCCAAGCGTCCCTTCCAAAGCCTATTGTAGGGAAGCGAGAGCTCTGTAGGTCCCGAGCCATTGAGTTTTGCAGGAGGGGGAGTCTCCCTGCTCTGGTCTCCAAGAGCACTGTCCCAGGAGCAGCTAGGAACCTGGACTGTCCTGAGCAATCTGGTAGAAGAGTCAGGCAGTCCTGAGAGAGTGTTACAGGGCTTGAGAGCTGGTGGGGGATGAAGATGTGTGCTGCTGTCAGAGACTTGCTTCCAGTGTTCGGTTCCAGGGTTTTTTCTAGCATGCTCTGAAGAATTTTAGAATACTTGAGATCCATCCACAAACACACAAGAGGGCAAAACCACTTTCGCAATAGAACCAAGATCATATTTGCTTTCTCTGTGTTCACAGTGCTGGTACCTGTTGTAAATCAAGGCTGTGACCCCAAGCCACGCCACGAGTGTCTGCTCTCCTGCGGCAAAGCCATCACGTGTCTGCACTTAAGTTTTGGATGAAAGAGGAGAAGTTATTAATTTTATGAATGTCTACATTAAGCATGTTTCTTTTTACTATTCCATGCCAGAAAATAGAAAGTACATAAGAGGCCCTTCAGCTGCACACCAGGAGAGTGGCTGTCTCAGTCTCTGGAAAGTGCCTGGTGTGCTGAGAGGCATTAGTGTGCATTCATGGTTACATTAGAACCCATTAGTCTCCTTCCAGTGGATCTCTCCCTGTTGTCCTGCTTTTTGTAACAGCAGTCGTCTGGAAATGCTGGTCGTTTGAGAGATACTCGTTCCCAGAGTATGCAGGTCTTCCTAGACAGTCCACAGCTCTCTGCAAAGGCATCCGTGTGCAGCCTGGTTTCCCTCGTGCTTGTACAACGGACCATAAGTGATGGATGCTGGAGCAGGCATCAGGATCCAGATCTCTTCTAATGAGAAACAAACCAAACAAACTTGTATCTTGGGGTCCTCACTAACGTTCGAGGTGTTGCTATGGCTACAACCTGGTAAAACCATTGTCCTAACCAGCAGCTTTTGTTGACTTCCAGGACATGATGGCCACTTCTCTTTTGGTCATGGCTAGCACCATGCTTCCCAATTTCACTGTACAGGCAGATGGCCTGGGGCGATGGCTGAAGCGAAGATACTGATGCAGTGTGTGTGTGTGTGTGTGTGTGTGTGTGTGTGTGTGTGTGTGTATTTTGCATGTGCGTGCATGTATGTACATGTGTGTGTTATGAATATATGTGCATGTGTAGTGCATGTGCACACATATATGTACTCCTGATTGTCTAGCAGGCCCCCCGAAGCTGTCATTCCAGCTGTGATGTACCCCACCTTAAGAAGCAGTTCCCCAGCTCATTTACCAATTACCACATGACACAGTCTTGTGCCATTTCATTACATAATTTCTGTTATTACTATTGATGTCATCATTGCTGTCGGGCCTTATTGTTTAGCTTCATTTTTATGTGTATGTATGTTTTACCTGCATACATGTATATGCACCATGAGTATGCCTATGCCTGCAGAGTCAGAAAAGGGTGTTTGATCCCTGGAGCTAGAGTTTGGATAGTTGGGAACTACCATGTGGGTGCTGGGAACCAAATTTGGGTCCTCAATGTCATCAAGTGTTCTTACCTGCTGAGCCAACTTCACGGCCCCTTGTAATCATGATTATAGATCATGCATATGTCATTGTGGTAGTCCAGACACCAGGCTAAGAATGAATTTTATGTGCAGCATTTCCTTCAGTGCCTCCAGCACTCACCTGGGGAGGTCCCATGGGGTGGTCCCATGGGGTGGTCCCATGAGGAAGGTCCCACAAGGTAAGAATGTACAGCTGAGATTGAAGACAAGTAATTAGTTGTCTAATCCTAGAAGTCCAAAGCTATACCCATGTGGACTTATTTTAATTCTTTTTGTTTTGAGTTTGGGTGGGTTATTCTGATGGTGTAGTCCACGGCATTATGCATGCTAGCCAAGCCACTTTACAACCAAGTTATATGCCAAGTCATAATTCTTGTTTATTTCCTTCTTTTGACAGACTCTTGCTTTGTTGTTCAAGCTGGCTTCAAATTCATAATCCTCCCTCACAGTCTCCCAAATGCCAGAATTATAGACATTCTATCAGCCCATTAGTTATAATTTTTGTCCATTTGTATTTGCCCCATCTTGCTATTTAGATGATGTATTCCTTATCATATAAAGGCCACAATACCTACTTTACTAGCTTTGTGGGCAGAATCTAGGTATTGTCTTTTTTTATACTTCACTCAGTAATCTAATCAGAGATTACAATGATTATATATCACCACATTTATAATATATATTTTATAAATATAAATATACATATATAATTTGAGTAAAAAATCAACACTAATGTTCACACAGCACTGGGATTCCATGGCTGTGCTGTTCACAAAGGTATTTTCTTATTTTATGTCAAGTGGTGAACTTGATCTGGAGTGATGAGTTTTTATACCCTTTCTTCAGCTTCATAAGTCAAAATATAATGTTCATTCTATCTTTTAAGTGTGTTTCAGAGGCCCCAAGATTGTTATATATTATGCTTTTCTTAATCAGTATACATGTAAAAATCAGGAACTTGCGCAGAAGACCAGACCGGTAGTTCTGAATGTAAAGCCTCAGGACCAGCAGGACAGTGCTGGGAAGATGAGAAAGACTGCAACTGTCCCAGAGGTACAGTTCTAGATGATGTTCTAGAGAAAACAGTCTCTCATCGTCTACCGGGCTACTGAAACCATGAACCCCAGAGAATTGGTTTCTTCATAAATCTCACATTGGGAGAAAGAATAGGCTGAACACTGGTCCAGCCAGTGGAACTTGTCACCCAGGAAAAAAAATGACACATGGTCATTACAACTTATTAGCCCAACTTTCAGAAGAGACTGGAGCCAAAACAGAGATAGATCCATGATAGGTGAGGTCATACCCTTACAAGGACTACTCTCTTATACATACCTCTTGACCTCTATTGAAACCTAAACTTCCTGTCAATATCCTATGGATGTGGGAGGATAGGGTCATTGGATGTCTTTGTTCCTCTTCCCAGTGTGGACACACTGCAAGTCCCTTCCTCAGCTTTTCACTACTCCTTATCCATTTAGTTGGCATAGTGAGAATGGGTGAGTGGCTGAGCCCAGGTCATCAGCACTGCCGGGGCTCAGCCACTCATCCTAACAACTCCAATAACAGTAACCTGGGACTATGAACCTTTTCTCACCTAAATTTCATTTTCTGTGGTGTTTTGTTATAGCAACAGAAAAGAAAGTAAGACAAGGGTCATTTACAGGAGTGTTGGCACCTTACTGTGGTTATACCACTGAGGAAAATGTCTCTCCCTTCCCCACCAGCCATTAAGTGTGGTAAATAGTCAAGGAGAGGTGGGAACTCATAAATGCCTCTGTAGTAGAATATTATTTTATTTTTTATTTTTTTGGTTTTTTGAGACAGGTTTCTCTTGTGTAGCTTTGCGCCTTTCCTGGAACTTACTTGGTAGCCCAGGCTGGCCTCGAACTCATAATCTGCCTGTCTCTGCTTCCCGAGTGCTGGGATTAAAGGCGTGCGCCACCACTGCCCGGCTAGAATATTATTTTTAGGAGTGTTACTTTTGTTTATGTTGCATTTGTTTAACTCTGTGAACTGTGTTACTGTGCCTGTTTAAAACACCTGATGGTCTAATAAAGAGCTGAGTGGCCAAGCGAGGCAGGAAAAAGGATGGGTGGGGCTGGCAGGCAGAGAGGATAGAAGGAGAAATCTGGGCAGGAAGAAGAAAAGAGATGGAGGAGTGAAGAAGACTAGCCAGAGAAGGAGGAGGAGGACTCCAGAGGCCAGCCACCCAGCTACACAGCAAGCCACAGAATAAGAGTAAGAATTACAGAATTAAGAGAACAGGAAAAGCCCAAAGGCAAAAAGGTAAATGGGCTAACTTAAAGTTAAGTAAAGCTGGCTAGAATTAAGCCAAGCTAAGGCCAGGCATTCATAATTAAGACTAAACCTCCGTGTATAATTCATCTGGAAGCTGGATGGATGGTCCCCTAAAAGAGTAAAAAACCAACAACAACATGCTTCCTTTCCCCATAACAGAATGTTGGGAAGCCAGATTCCATGCAGGCAATCACAGCTTCCATGAGTTCAAGAGTGCAGTGGACATCCCTTACAGTTCACATTTCACATCACTAACCACTTTCAGTGGGTTCATACATTATTTCTGCTCCATTTTATGTGCTGTTTCTTGAGATGTGTGTGTGTGGCGCCCAACGTGTTGGCAAAAGTTTCTACCTAAAACCTGAGAAAAGATTCTAAAATGGAGCTAAAAACAGTTTCCTAATTGTCTCTCTCAAATGAGCAGCAGCTGCCGGTTTGAGCTACTGGCGGGTTCCTAGCGTGTGAGCTCGGTCTGCAGTATGGCGGGAATGAGGCCTCTGCAAGTGGCACATTAAGCTGCA